GAGTGCAGGATGAGTTTAAAATTGAATTTAAAATGCATCATACTGTTTACCGTAATAATATCGACACATTTATGGGAATTCACTTTGCTCCATGCCCACTCCAATTCGAAATCCCTTGAGTGCCAAAAGGAAAAAGTCCCAATGATATCTTCGTCGGACTCGGGTCCGGTCCTGGACCAGGTCCAGGTGCTATACCTTAATGGGCTTTTGTTTTCAGATGATGACCAGGCCGGCGGCTGTTTCTTTCTCGTATCTGTATCTGTATCTTTTGCTGAGTGCCTTTTCGGTCCTGTTCGCTTAAATAAATTTAAAACTTGCCGGATTTTTTCCAACTCCTTCAATGGGGACAGATGTTTTCGGTTCTGGGGCTTTTTTTCCTTAAAGCTTTATGATTTTTTTTCTGCGGCATCCTCCCGCTCTGAGTTAACTGATATTATGGATGCTTTATTATTGTATCTACGTATAGTCGTACCTGTGCCTTTCCTGCATCTGTTATCCTGACAGCAGGACTCACCTCACCCGCACTCTGGGGAGGTAATCGATCTCATGTGGTTTATTTACATCCGTTATTGAAATTCACTTTTTCCTCTTGCTCTTGCCATGGTTGGTGTCGTTGTTTTTCGTCCTGCCTTTGTTTTATGAATTGGCTTTGTGTACCTGCCCCACTGCACCACTCGCCCCACTCCCTCGTCCTGCTACCCTTCAATCCTCAGTATCGATGACAATTGCAGTTTTTGGCATGCAGCTGGGCACATTTACATCCGCTTGCTGTGTGTGCGCCTTTTAAAAACAGATTTTGCTTCGATTTGCTTTTTCTTTACCTTTCTTCTCGTTTCGGTTTTATGTTCCTTTTTTTTTAGTTTCTGCAAGCGGAAGTAAAATACTTCCTAGTGTTTTAATATTTCAGTTTGTCGAATAATGTCCGGACTCCAGGGCAAATGATATAGGAAGGAAATTATATCTGAATATTGTATTCATTGGGGAGTGCAAAGAATTGGAATAATTCAGTTTTGGTTAGGATAGGTCAGTTGGATATAATTTTTTAGGGAATTAAAATTATAACTTTACACTTAAATGAGTTCTTTAAAAAATGGTAAAGTAATGTGTTCTTCGAGGAGAATAAGGATCTTGGTAAGAAATAAGTTTCCCTCAAAATTATAATAATTTAGAAGGGAATAAACTTTATTTTCTTTTTTTACAAAAAGAGATAATGTTAGACTTGTATATGTTCATATCTTAATAATATAAAATATACCTATTACAATATTTATCAGTTTCCAAAAATATAAAATTTCCTAATAAAATACCTCTAAAAATTATACAAGTTTTGAAAGACTTTTTAAAACTATGCTCCTTACTTTTTATAGCTTTGATAGCTTTGGTTCGTTAAGCATAGTTTTGGAATATTTTAAACTTATCCAACTACCATTCCTTTTAATTAAAAAAAAACATAACACATTATCTTGAAAATTATGAGACATTCTTAGAAATTCCCTTCAAGATCACAAGGGATCAGTACAATGTGGTTACGGTAGTTGAGCCGAAATTTCAGATATTGTTACAAAGAAGTTCTCACAATAACCGACTAGCTGACGACACCTATAGAAATGCAAATTTATGGTATTTAAGGCCGAAACCATTATGTAATCTTCATGCACTCATATGCTTTATGGAGCACATCGCTGCGGATATCAAATTGTATCTACAAGTCCAATTTAATTATGAGCCACGCAAGGCCCATCAAAGTTTCCGAGGTAGTCGATCCGATGCAGGTGCAAATGCCACTTTGGAGGACCAACCGCTACCAACTACCAACATTCTCCAGTGGTCGGTCGGCAGTCGCCAGCCAGTGATCCCAGCTCATTTTCGGTTCCACATTATTATTATCCACGCTTTGAGTTTAGTCCGGTTTGGTTTTGGTTGGGGGGAATGCCGCTCTACAATTCATTTGCAAAGCGTATCCAAAAATGCTGATGGGATTATTATATGTTGGGACTGCGACTGCAGGTGGAATATCTCAATGTCCGAGCAGGTCTTTATCTTTTTAATGCTGTGGATTGCTTTGTGTTTTCTGTTTTTTCTTTCCTTCACACACATTTCGGCTTTAAGCATTAATTTATGTATTAAAAGTTAGAAATCCGTGTGGACAGGTGAATTTTTAAAGGTTACCTTTTCTGTTTTTTTTTTTTTTATAATTCTGTATTGGTTATAAGGGGAATTATATATTGTAAGATAGAGCTAAAAAAATAAGTCTTGAATTTGTACTAAAAATATATATTCTTAACTGGCGATGGGCTTAAAAAATAAATTAAAAACCAGCCCTTTTGTAGTTTTATTTTCCAAAACTCTAAACAAAAACTGTCCCTACACCCCTGAATATTTTATAAAATGTAAATCCTCTTCTGAAAAGTGTAAAAATCGAAAAACTTAATACCCAAAACGAAAGCCTAGACCTGAAAAAACTCCTGGCTCATTGTCATTCATCATATAAATCAGAATTCGCACACACGACAGGACATCGGTTTAGAAACCAAAGTGTTCGATTGTATGCAAAAAAATAAAAAATCAACGAAATCTCAAAACAATGAAAATAATGATGAAAATGGAATCGAATGGAATGGCTTTATGTATGGATCGGTGTGGAATGCCGCAGGTGGCCACAAGCATTCGTTCGCTCGCGATTCCTTTCAAGTGTTTGCCGTTGCCGGTGGACAAATTTACATGCGAGCCGGGCACACAATGAGGCGGCGGCTGACCTGGTCAGGTAACCAGGTAGCAGGTAACTTACAAGGCCCATAAACTGGAAAAAATAAATGTTGAAAATAAACCTGTACAAGCGATTCATACACTCTCATATTGGTTGGAATCTGCTTCTGGTTCTTCCAGTGTACTGTCCACCAGTCCAGCAGCTACCTGGGACATGTCCGGCACTGGGACACACGTCGCTATTCAAATAGTCCAGCGAGTTCGACCAGGTGAAGGCATCCCGGCTCCAGCCAGCAATGGCAAAAGCAAATGCAAATACAAACGCATCATTTAAATGATGGAAAATCAAAAGGATGCTGGACCGTGTGATTTCCGCTCTGAACACGGGACCTTTGTAAGTGCGAGAGTCCGTGCAAAGGTGTCCGCTCCTTTTGTTCAAAATATTTTAATTAAATGAACTGAGTTAAGCCCCGTGGGCCGTTTGCCGTTGGATAGGATTGGTGGATGTCTGGTCCATCTCCTGATGGACGATGGCAAATCAATCATTTCCAGGCAAATGCGGTCAAAATGCAATGCTCAATTAAATAAGCCATACAATGGAATACCAAAACTGGAGGGGGGACCGTTCCTTTGTTGTGGGAATCCAGGATATCCAGGATATGAAGGCCTAAAGAGTTAAAGTGTAAATGGTGGATGTATTAAAAAAAAGCCTGTCAAATGGTATCAATTTTTAAGTGTGGTTGCTATTTTCTGATTCTGATTCTGGTTCTGCAGGATACTAGCAGATTGAATGTTAATCAAGTGCAACGGCATGTTGAAAGCCCCAAAGAGCATAGAGGTATTTTTTAAGGGATATATCTACTATTTTATACTCTAATTTAAATAATAAAAATTATATTTTATGGAATATACAATCGGTTATTAAGAAATATTATGCCTTGGACTTTAAAGGCTTTTAAATAGAATTTAAAATCATTTATTGAAGCTTTTTTATTGTTTAAAGTCGTAACAGCTACTATACATTTTTAGTTTGAAGTTTTCTTTAAATTTTAGTTATTTCTATACTACCTCAAGTTAAGGTATTTTACCTTGGTGTCGAAAAACTCCTAAATGCGTGCTAAAACCAAAACTACAAATCCGAAAAAGGTCCTGCATCCGCCACCATCACAGATTGAGTGCAAATATGCATTTGCATGGAGGGTGGCCCTCTGAACACTTAAATTCCATCTCTAAACTAAAAACGCAAAACGCTCAAAAAACGACAAACGACCCTCGGGGATCCTGTCACCTGTTCCTTTGGAAATGGATGGGCAGGCGGAAAGTGCCGGGAGGTGGGGGGAGGTGGAGTGGAGCTCATTTACATGCGATTGAAATACGTTGGAATCAAAGTGCATAGAATCGTGGGGCGAGGACGTAGGACGTCGACAAAAAAAATAGAAAACCCAACAACATTCAATTGGCTGTGAATTTTTTTTACTGGCTGCATGTGAATATTTGGATTCTGGGCTAATTAAAAGCACATCAAAAGCGCACAAAAATTTGCATAGCAAACGAAACGAAACGCTGCGAAAATTAAATAGAAATTGTTAGTTGCACTTTTTCCTTTTCACTTCGTCAAAGCTGCCAATGCCAAAAAAAGTTTGTCATGAATAGCTGTCGTTAGAGGAACAGGATTCTTAACGAGAGCAGGGGGCGGGGCCGGGAGCAGGGGAGCCACAGCGAATCGTCCAATAAATGTCAGCGGAACAAACTTTGTTTGCCAACTATTTTTATAATTAAACAAACTGATTGTGATAAGTAGGAAAATTAACGTAAAAGTTGTCCCAAGTGCTGGCGTCCAAAGGTCCGTCCGGCCATAATTTTGGCCAAACGTCAAAGTTCCTTGTTCAGCCAAGTCCTTGAAACAACACAAGAATTACTTTGAGCCAGTCAAACGTTTTAGTTCTCTATGAGCCAAAGTCAAAGCTTTTAAAATTGTTTAAACTCCTCTTTAAAACTAATTTCTGTTAAAACATCGTAAACTACAATAAACAAATCCTTATGTTGTGGGATCATCATTTCATGTTGTGAAACATGACAGTTTTTTGTAATTATTCTTACAAACTTTTAATATCTATAAACATAATATATTCGGCTCTATTATTAAAAAGATACTATATACAACACGCCATTGAAATACGCATCTGATTGTTGATAGTACCCATAAAAAGCTCATTCTCTGGTGTTCGTAGAACTCATTCTGGATAGCAAGGCCCCAAGTCTGTACATTGACTTTTAAGAATCGTACATAACATAAACCTAAATCAAAACTATGATGATTTGCTGGTGCTGGCCGCCGCGGCAGCTGCAGCCTGAGTGGCATGGTGTTTCGCCACCGCCTCCTGAGCCTTACTCAGCTGGATGTAGCCTTCATGGGCTCGGGACCGCAGCTCGCTCTCTACATTCTTGTTGACAGACTTTGAAATGACGGCCTTGATCTTCTGTGTCTCATTGAACTTGGCCTTCTTGGCCTGGATGGGAGCATCTGAAAAATAAGGCGCACATTGGAGGAGAATTCTGATAACAACTTGTTGATACTCACTGGCACGGCGGGTGAAGGCGGCCTTTTTTTGCTTTTTCTGCTTCTGTATGGAGGCGGGAACTTTAGCCTTCTTGAACTTTCCCTGAGGCATCTTTATAAATTTATTAAATCGGGTTTTTTTAAGTTTTATAAAATTAACAACAGCACGTTGTTTTGTTTATCGAAAAGTGTGACCCCTAGTCACAAGTTCGATATCTCTGCCTATCGATTTTGGAGGGCTGCCAATCTGCTCCAAAAACATAAAATCGTTATTTTAATTAATTTGAAAAATGTTTAAGTTTGAAACTTTTAGCTTTAAATCCAGTAAATTGGTAGTAAAAAATATATTTTAGTTTATTTTATTTATCTTTATTTTCGATTGCTGGCTCACTTAATGGTAACTTGAATTTTTAACGAATATTGTTTGTTTAATCGCTTGCTTTAAAGTTTAAACTAAACACAGAAAAGTTCACATTCAATGCAAAACTTAATTTGTTCGCGATAATCGTTTTAACAAGAAATAATTAACATTTAAAAGCGCTGAATATTGGTTTATATGCAAGTTAATTGGGATTCTGTATATCCTTATTTATGTACGTATGTATATGTGTATATATATTTATAAATATTTTTTATTTTGTTAGTTTATTTAGCTTTTTTTCACTACTTGTTGTCTTTGCTCACTTGGTGATTAAACAGAGTTCTTCAACGTTTCAATTTTGTTCTTTAAAAAAATTGTTTTACAAAAATGTATGCATGTGTGTGTGTATGTGGGGGTGTATGTTTCCGAGTGGTATGTATGTACGTATGTATATATATAAATAAAACAATTAACTGTTCAGTTTGGCAACAATAATGCCAGTTACAACTAAGCCTATTATCACAGCAATCACCAGAAGTATCAGGATCTTGCACCTATAGCTCTGGCGACTCCTGGCCGCCTTGGCCAACTCTGAGGCTCCCTCCTCCACGTTGGTGGCCGTCCTCTCAATGGTATTCTCGATGAAGTCTGTAAAGTTTAAAAGAAATCCAGTTAAGATAACAAACCCTTACTAATATTACTCCAAGCATAGTCACATTCAAGATAAATAAGATATCGATATCAGTCTCAGCAATGATAAAGAATTGTATCTTGAGGTGGACTTCTTGGTGGTCACTCACCCAACTGTTCACCCTGCTCATGCACCAACCCACTCAACTTTGTCATTATCTGGTTCACATCGATGATATCCGATTCGATTTGCTCGACCTGGCGCTGCCGTTCCACCAGCAAGTCATGCTCCTGCTGCAGTCCGGCTTCCTCCAAACGCTGCTGTTGGAGCAGCTCCTCGCGAGCCAATGCCTCAGACTCGTGCTCGGACTCCTGGGCTTGCCGCAGGGTCTGGCGCATGGCGGTGGATATGCGCTTCTGTGTGCTGGAATACTTTTCGACCACGCCTTGAAACTCTTGCGTCAACTTCTCCAACTGCAGCCTCTGCTGTTTATCACCGTGCCGGACGACAGCCTGCAGCCGCTGCAAGTCCTGACTGGTGGTCTGAATCCGGGCATTGGTCTTCATGTTGATGGAGTGCACCTTTTCGCGCAGAGCCGCTTGCTCTCGCGGCGTGTTGATCAGCTTTAGTTGCTTCTCCAGTTGCTTGCTGCTGCTGTGAACCGCGGTGATGTTGTGTCCGATATCTTCGCTGAGGGTCATAAACTCTGTGGGGCTGAATCCCGAGGAGCCGCCTGCAGACGCAAAGCTCACCTCCGGGGTGGTGTTCTCCGCTGTGGCTCCATAGTCGCGACGCGGTCCTCCGCCTCCAGCGGGATTGTTCAAAGCCTGGGACATGACGACGACTGCTGCTGCGACACTGCTGTGACTTTGACTTTAACTGAGTGAATGGGTGGTTTGATGGCGATGACTGTGGCTGGGCTGTGGGTGGAGTGAGAGTTCTAGTTGGTGGCTTTAAAATGGGGCGACACCTAACACCGCTCGCTGGGCACTGCTGCACAAACACAAACTCAAACACTGGCGAACAAACAGACAAATCCCTTACAAATGATTCACATGCGATGAAGACTGCGCATTGTTTTTGTTGCTGTTGTTGTTGCTGTTCCTCAGCTCCAACTTATCAACATATGACTTGTACAAGTGTGTGTGTGTGTTTGTGTGTGCCTTCCTGTGTACGCCAGTGTGTGCGTATGTATCGATGGGAAGCATTTACGTGTTTCTGCCTCTCGCATATGACCAGCGGGGGAGGGTGTGGGGTGGCGAATCTTGTACGGATTCCGCCTGGCAGTGGGTCCGGTTACCTAGGACTTACTTTGCAGTGAATTCTTTTGGGTGCGAGTGCCAATGTCAACGGACAAAGCCTTTCACTACGCAAAACACAATGAATGATAATTCTTTCGCAGCAGCAGCAGCAGAGGTCTCCAAGTGTGACCGCAGCTGTTGGGCCGAAGAGAGCGTTTATCGATGTTGGGGCTAGTTATCGATTGTAAGGCGCCAAACTTATCCTTCCAATCGGAACTCTAATAATGTAAATAATGCTATTTCCTAACAAAACTGATATTTTTCTAACTAAAATCCAATTATATCCAAAGAAATCACTTTCATATTTATTTACACCCAAATATATTCTTTTTTAAATCTCCGATGATCAAGTTTTTTGAATAAATTTACCATATTAAGGAAAACTACAACGATTCTGAACCACTTCACATAATTAGTTAGGAAATCAATGGAACTAAAGTGTATTACAAACCGCTGTACCCAAGAGTTACAAAGAAAAGACAATCTTCTACGTTCTTGGCTTGTAATTCCGTAGCTTAACGTACAGAGTTATGCTAAAAGGTAAAACTCCTCAAACTTCGCTCCAGCATTCTTTTTAGTGGGTCTTGGCGGCCAGACGCTTGTCGCGCTCCTCCGAAATGGTCAGCTTGACACCCTTGCCCTTGGGCAGGGAGATGTAGGGCTTGTTACCCTTGCCAATGATGAACACGTTGGTCAAACGGGTGGCGAAAACATGACCCTGGGAATCCTTGATGTGGACAATGTCGAAGGATCCGGGGTGACGCTCGCGGTTGACAACGGTGCCGACACGTCCCAAATTCCTGCCTCCGGTGATCATGCACAGGTTGCCTGCCGATCAAGAATACCAATTAGTTTACACTACAAGATATGGTTACTTTGGATAGGGGGATTGTAATTGCACGCAATAGTTACTGAGACGACTGTGGAGTACCGAATCAGAGACCGTCGTGCCAAAAATTGCTTTTGGCTTGTGTTTTTGAACCACGCAACTTTAGTTTAGCGTTTTGTGGTCTTCGAACCAGCCAATAGAGATTACAAATGGAATCCTTACCGGAATCGAACTTGATGTAGTCGGTGATCTTGCCGCTGGCAATGTCGACCTGCACGGTGTCGTTGGCGTGGATCAGAGGATCCGGGTAACGGATGGTGCGACCGTCGTGTGTGACCAGGAATGGAACACCCTTGGCTCCCAGCTGGGTCTTCTTGACCTTGCACAGCTTGTACTAAAAATAAGATAAATACATAAAAAGTTAGTTAAATTCATTAAAAGAGTCATAGGGAATCTGTAATTGCACGTAAAAGTTACTGAAAGTGCTGGAAGATGCTAGAATCAGTGACCGTCGTAACAAAAATTGCTTTGGGCTTCGTTTTGAACCAATCTACTTATAGAAAGTAAAGCGGTCTTCGACAAAGCCCACATCCTGGCCTCTTTGGAGTTTCCAGATACAAGTCTCTCTTAAACTAGCTTTGAATCGGTTGTAATTGCACGGAAAAGTTACTAAAATGGCTGTGGAATGCCAGATCAGAGACCGTCGTATCAAAAATTGCTTTGGGCCTCGTTTTGAACCAATAAACACATTGTTTGGAGAGTAAATCGGTCTTCGACAAAGCCCCCAATTCCCATTCATGTGACCAAAAAAAACTAACCTTGGCCTCCTCGGCGGAGATGCGGTGGATGGTGAAACGGCCCTTCACGTCGTAGACCAGACGGAAGAACTCACCAGTCTTCTCCAGGGTGATGACATCTGCAAGACATGAAATCATAATAAGAAACAAATCCGAAAACCTAACCCTTTCCAGTTACTCACCCATGTAGCCAGCGGGGTAGGTAGGGTCGGTGCGGACCTTGCCGTCGACCTTGACCAGGCGCTGCATCACGATCTTGGTCACCTCAGCGCCGTTGAGGGCGTACTTGAGACGGTTGCGCAGGAAGATGAGCAGGGGCAGCGACTCGCGCAGCTTGTGGGGACCGGTCGAGGGGCGCGGGGCGAAGACACCTCCCAGCTTGTCCAACATCCACGCCTTGGGGGCGGCCAAACGCTTCAAATGCTTCTTGGGTCCACGCGCCTAAAAAAATACAATGGATCGTCGATTAGTACTCCGGCGTCGCACAACAAAAAAGATTCCCACTCACCATGTTGTACGATTCACTTTATTGTTCGGGCGGTCACTGAAACGAGAGCAAGCGGAAACGGAAATGAGGTAAAATATTAGTTCGCACATTTCGGGCATCGACGTAGACGACGCAAATTGTATATAACACAGTTTATTTTCAATAAAAACGCAAAAAAGTGGGTAAAATTGAGCAAATTCGAGATAAAGCCACGTGGGGCGTCATACCTTGCCGAAACGAGAGGTTAAAAAGAAAGAGACCAGATTAGGGGTGAGGAAGCAGCCAAAAGCCAGGGCTACAACAAAATGATGTTAAATGTTTTGTTTACAAACTGGTAACACTAATCCGTCTATTTGTTCATAGTGCTGCCAAAAATAAATAGCTAGATATAGCTTACAAAACATACATCTGAGCTAAGAGAATTTCTGTCTAATTAAGAAATAAGGATAAAAAACTTTTTGTATTTTAAAACCAATGGTATATCGTTGTTTTTACGACAAATTTTCCTAAATTCTTAGGATTATTAATTTCCGTATTAAACAAAAGTGTGGCTGTATGGCAAAGGGTTATAATGGGCTAAATTGTTGTATGCGCATCTCAAACAGTGCTGGATAATTGTTGAATAGTTTCTGTTTTCTAAAATGTTCATGCACTATTCTTACATTTTAGTTCCCTTATGCCAAATAGTGAATTATTGCCAAAATAGTCAAAAAATTGTGACTGCTTTGAAATCTTTTAAATTATTCGTCTTGGCGCCAAATGGGTCTAAGCAGTGTTTTTAGTTTCCGGTAGGATGAAAAGCTTTGCAGCCCTGATGTTTTAATATATTATTATTTTAAGTAAATAAGAATGACTAAAATTTTACTTGTGCGCTTTACTTTAATATAATTCTATTTAGATTTAGTTTACTTTAATTTTACCATTTTATAGGTGATTTCTGTTAACATGCTGTTAGCCAGTAATGACAAAAATAAAAGACTACACCCAAAAATTAATTTTTAGTAATTAATTTGTTTTAAATATCTTCATTGACTTTGAAACCGTACATTTTGTAAATTATTATAATATTTGTTTAAGAAATTTCCAGGGCTACCAGCTCAGCGGTCAAGATAACGTCGCAAGCGTTATCATACACCCCCGCAATGGACCGCGGAATTCCGAAACATCGATAGCACCGAACATCGATGGTCAGCCACCTCTAACGTAATTTCCATTTATTTTGCTCTGCTTTCTTTCGCCGTTTTTCCACCCACAATCCGCAGAAATATATCCCGAATTTGTGCGAAACGGTGGCCCCACATATTGTGCGTGTAGTTTCTTAGTTCGCGATAATAAAAATACCCGTTTCCCATCGATTACAAAGCCCCGAAAAAACGACGACGTCAGTGGCGTCAGGTGGAAGAAAAAAAAAAAGAGGAGAAAAACTGATAATTGCGATTGGAAGTTGAAAATTGAAATTGAAATTTAACGGGAGCAGTTGAAAATTGAAGTGAATTTGCAAGTGTGAAAACGCAGCGCGAAGCGTAAAGGAGCTGAGAGTTCGAGGAAAAGGTAATTAGCGTGCCAATTTAAATGGAATTTAGTTGGTGAGCGTGAGTGCGTGTGTGTGTGTGCGTTTGTGTGAAAAAGTTGTTTTCCCTGAAACGGCGACTAAAAAATACCCAACTTTGATGACGAAATTAGTGTAGTATGAGTGCTTGTTTTGATTATCTTTATTGTTTTTGCATTGATAACCAAACCAGGGTGTGTTTGTGTGTGTGTGGCAGGTGGGTGGTGGGTAGGTAGGGAGAAGAGGCGGAGTTGATAAGCAGCCTTGTCCCATCTCTCCAAAAGGTCGTCGCATATGGCATTTAAAAGAAGTCGTGTCAAGAAATCAATTCATCCATTATGGAAGCCATACAATATATGTATTTTTTTTCCCCCCCACCACCACCCACTTGGCCAGTAATTAGCAACTTTACCACCCCACCACTCCTCTCTCCTTTGAAACTCCATACAATATGGCATTTTACTCGTCTTTCGTCAGTTTTGGAGACCTGTCTTTGGAGACTTTTTGCTTTGGCCAATTTCTGTATATTTCTGTGGAGATACAACTTGTTGTTGCTGCCTCTTTGTGCAGCTGATTGAGCTCCCCTCTCCTCCCCTACCCCCTCTCTCATTGTATTGCTTTTATTTCTTTTGCTCTTCTTTGCATATTCGCTTCTGGGTTTCAGATACAGATACACCGTTTCAGATTCAGATACGCAGATCCGCAAAATCCGCTCGTTTCACAAATAACATTTTTAGCGTCAGCGGGTAAGCGTTTCGAGTTCAGGCTGTTGTATTATTATTAACTTTTGCACGGGTTCGTGACTCATTCCCGTGACTTTATCGTTATCTCATTTTCGAGTTCCCCCCGTAATGGGGAAATCTTGTCATGGTTACCAGAGAGAATCTAATTTCTTAAAATGATTTGTTTTTATTTTTAAAACTTGAAAAAAAACTTTTAAATAGCATCATAAACTGTAAACTCTCCTACATAACGGTAAGAAACAGTGTGACCCCCCTCCCACTGCTTGGAGTATAAAATTTGTGTTTTTATGGCTTTTCCAACACTGTTTTTTGAAAAGCATTCAAAGGAGAAACTTGTATGATAAGAGTTTTGAAGCAAAAACGTAAAAAATAATCAGTATTAATGAGTTTTGCTGTTGTTAGGAAATAGTTATATATAGTTTTTTTTATGATATAACTCTTAAATATTCATAAAAGTATATATTTTCATTACTCACCACAAAAGCACTTCCCAAAACCCGATAAAAGTTTCTTGCACGTTTTTTTCCCTAAGTTTCTGACGCAGTTGTGTGACTTTAGTTTTATCTGGCTTTGGTTTCCATTCAAAGAATATATTTTTTATCGCTCCACTCCCTTTTAAAAATTTGAAAAACCCCAAAACCTGCTAGTATTGGAAAACCCCCCCAAATTCAAGATGGCTACCCACAGGGTGGCCCTTAAAGCAAGTGCTGTAAAAGGAGCTTTGACATTTGAGGACCTTTCAAAGTCTACTTCCTTCCAGTTCCCTTGGATTTTCTTTCTTTTTGTTGCCAGCTTCAATCCGGAAACATCTCCTTGAATTCGTAAGAATTTTTCAAAAAAAAATTAATTTTTAGTGAGCTTGCATAAACTAGTTTCAGGATAGCCCAATATTTAGTAGCAAGTGAACCTAAAAGAATCTTAAAATGAAGTTGAACATCTCATATCCGCTAACCGGCTGCCAGATGCTCTTGGAGATCGTGGACGAGCACAAGCTGCGCATTTTCTATGAAAAGCGCATGGGCGCCACTGTTGCCGCCGATGGTCTGGGAGAGGAATGGCAGGGCTATGTCCTGCGTATCGCCGGTGGCAACGACAAGCAGGGCTTCCCCATGATGCAGGGCATCTTCAGCCAGCAGCGTGTCCGCCTGCTCCTCAAGGCCGGCCATTCGTGCTACCGGCCGCGTCGTGACGGCGAACGGAAGCGCAAGTCGGTGCGTGGCTGCATCGTCAATGCCAACATGTCCGTGTTGGCCTTGGTGGTGATTCGCAAGGGTGAGCAGGACATTCCCGGCCTCACCGACTGCTTCCGACCGCGTCGCCTGGGTCCTAAGCGCGCCAGCAAGATCCGCAAGCTCTTCAACCTGACAAAGCAGGACGATGTGCGTCGCTATGTGGTGGGTCGCCCGCTGCCGGCCAAGGAGAACAAGAAGGCCACCACCAAGTTCCCCAAGATTCAGCGTCTCATCACGCCGGTGGTGTTGCAACGCAAGCGCCACTTGATCGCCGAGCGGAAGAAGCGACGCATTGCCTCCGCCTTGGCAGCCAGCGAGTATGTCAAGCTGCTGATGATCCGCAAGAAGGAGTCGAAGGCCAAGCGTGAGTTGGAGCGCCGTCGCTCCCTCTCCTTGCGCAGCTCCAAGTCATCGTTGCGCTCCTCCACCTCGGCCTGAGTACGAAATGCCAGCATTATTATTATTATTTTTTTTTTTTCCCATAACAAGCCTTTAAAAAATCCCTCCCCCCCAAAAAAAAATATAAAAGTATGTAAAATGTATGTAGTGTGTATTCTTAGGGTATGTACTCGAGAAGCCAGATGGTTTTATTCTCCAGATAGCCCTTAGGATTGCTCAAGAATCTGGATGGGATGGGGGCCTCCACTACGAGGGCGTATGTACTCCCTGGCGGATGAAATCGATATGAAGCAGTTAGAAGTGACCCTGAGACTCTGGCCTCTGAGAAAGGTGGCCATAACTTTCCTGGCCGTGCCAGAGAGTCCATTATTAATATTGGATTGCGTGATGATCTAATGCGCGCGCCTCTGTCCCTCCCCCCGTCCTATGGTTGCTCCACATGTTCCACTTTGGTTGGTTGATGACCCAATTCAGAACCAAAACCAGAGCTAGAACTAGCTGGCTGGCTAGCAAGCCAAACCAACAGCCCTGCCTTCTGGTGGAATGTCATTTTTCGGAGCACAACGTTTCGTGTGAAAGTTGAGACGGAAATGTAAACAGTGTGCCTGTCGAGCAATCTAGTTCTCGGCCTCTCTCTCTCTCACAATAGACAGAATAAGAAGCTAATCCCAGAGCATTATTCTATTCCAGCATGAGCACAACCGCCGCCAGTCTCATCGAGGCGGCTCTAAATGCCAGCAACGGCGGCAACGCCACAGCCACGACTTCTGGAACAACAACAGTGAAGCCGAATCCCAATTACGTCGTTCAGGTGAAGGACAATCCGATGAGCAACTCGCTGGAACCCCTGCTCCATGTGGGCGATGGCATCTTTCTGCAAACAAAGACGGCACAGGTCCTGGCCGGTGTCTGTGTGTGGGCCGCCTTGTTCATCACCTGTCAACAGGTAAGCTTGAGCTACGGAGATAGTTGGAATCATATCTAATCCCTGGCCTTCTCCTTGCAGATCTACCAACATCTCCGATGGTATACGAACCCTCAGGAACAGCGCTGGATTGTCCGCATCCTGTTCATAGTCCCCATCTATGCCAGTTACTCTTGGATCAGCTTGCTCTTCTTCAACTCGGACAATGTCTACATCTATTTCTTCACAGTGCGGGACTGCTATGAGGGTTGGTTCTAGAGATTCCTTTTGAAGAATTGTTTCTATTGCATAGTTCTTGTAGCCTTTGTCATCTACAACTTCTTGTCGCTGTGCTACGAGTACCTGGGCGGCGAGGGTAACATCATGTCCGAGATCCGGGGCAAACCCATCAAGACCTCATGCTTGTACGGCACTTGCTGCCTGAAGGGCAAGACCTATACGATTGGATTCCTGCGCTTCTGCAAGCAGGCCACTCTGCAGTTCTGTCTGGTTAAGCCGCTGGTGGCATTCATCATCATCTTTCTGCAGGCCTTTGGCCACTACCATGATGGCGATTGGAGGTAGCCACCGTGCTATATAACCCTTATATAGATCTCTAACTCTTTCTTGTTCTAATCTCTCCTCCAGTGCCGATGGCGGTTACATTTACATCACAATTATCTACAACATCTCCGTATCGCTGGCCCTGTACGGCCTCTATCTGTTCTACTTTGCCACCCGGGATCTGCTGACACCCTTCGAACCGGTTCTCAAGTTCTGCACCATCAAGTCGGTCATCTTTTTGTCCTTCTGGCAGGGCGTGGGCCTGGCCATCCTGGAAAAGGCCAATGTCATCTCGCCCATTGTGGACAGTGCTGGCGCTGTCACCGCCGAGGCGGGTACTGTCTCTGCTGGCTATCAGAACTTTTTCATCTGCATTGAAATGCTGTTTGCAGCCATTGCTCTGCGCTATGCCTTCCCCTATCAGGTGGGTACCGGAATGCCGCCGGAGTGCTGCTCTAAACATGATTGGAGAGTTATTTATGAACTGTTCTGATTAGATAGTATGGGTGTTGTTTAATTCAGATAATGACATGGTTTCCCCATTTCAGGTTTATGCTCGCAGTTGCATTAGCGATGGCCATGGACGATCTGTTACAATGCAGTCCATTTCCAGCAGTCTCAAGGTAAGCTTTTAAGATACTTCTATATCCAATATCTAAAGTTTTATTCTGTTCCTTAGGAAACGATGAATCCCAAGGATATTATGACAGATGCTATTCACAACTTCCATCCGCAGTACCAGCAGTACACGCAATATAGCTCAGGTGCGTCTCTTACCCACTTTCTTCTCTTTCTCCGCCTTTCTTCTTAGCCCAATTTCTCTCTTTGTGCTCGTATCTGTGGCATGTTTCGTACTTATCTTATCACCTATGTTTTGTTGCTCTCATTTGAATGCATTTCCAATGCCTATATCCATTATTCATTATCTTTATGTTTGTTTTTTTCACCTTTTTGTTTTTTTCTTTCTTGTTTTTCTTATCTTTTGCAGAAGTAACCTCGACTCAGCGTTACGAAAAGCTCTAAATTATAAAGCTAAAACACTAATTGCAAACACATTACCACAATTCCGAGAAGGGACGCGATCCGAAAAAACGAAGCATACGAAGTGTACTTATAGCCTACGGCCTTAGCTTAAAACCCCCTGAAAATCCAAATCTAAATCCAAATCCTAAAACATATACCTGCACTTTGAGACGGGATACGATACGTACTAGGCCTAGTTACTTACTCACTGCTGAAACCAGAAATTGCCTTAGTCTGTCTAATGATTTTGTGAGATGATGTTTTATTTTAGGGATTTCCGTAGGGCATCCATCCCAGATACTGTGCGCATATGTGTCTGTAATTCTTCTGTATTTTTTACGTTTACACCACTCCCCCTCCTCCCCTCTTAAATTTAAGCATTTTTTAATGAAATTATTTACATGTAGCGATGTATGAAACAACCTATAATATTGTGTAATATTATGTATGTATCTATAAACAAAGATTTTATTAAATTGTATGTCGGAGAAGTAGAATTCATTTTTTATCAGCCTTTAAATCAGCCTTCAAGTTAGTTATTTCCACTTCAGCATTTATTTACGTAATTCCGTTTCGCTCAAAGATACCAAAAAAAAAAATAAACAAAATAAAACAAAGTTTTCTTTTATGAATTTTTTTTTGAGAAACAAAATAAACCCCTTCTTTTTTGTGATAAGCTCTCGTCGTGCTTCTATTTCCGTTTGTAAATGTTTAATCCAATTGTATAAAATATCTAAAACATCTAGCAATAAATGTACGATAAGCTTGACAACTATTTGCCTCAACTTGTTTCCTTTGTTGCATGTTTTTTGGTCTTTCTCTAAAAAAAAATCCACAACTATACCTTGGAGATATCCAAGATATAGTTGCTCTCTAAGCATGGCATGATTGTATATATCCTTAAGCCTTAAAAAAGATTCATGTCATTCGCGATTAAGATCCATGCCCTTCCCTCCACTAACACCCAAACAGGTGGCAAGAATTCGCGCGGCATTCGCGTTTCCAGCTACGATCCGGATGATCCAAGTTCTGGCGGAGCAGGTTCGGGAGGTGCAGCCATGCAGGCGTCTCAGCAGCCCTCTAGTGGCGGCTATAATGCAGTGGCCACTGGACCCGGCAGCAATAATGGCAGCAACTGTATGGCCTCCAAGACGCTGGGCAATCAGCGAAAGTTCATGCCCGGCGGCCAGCGAGTGGCGACCATCAGCCAGAACTACAACGAGAAGACCATGCTGCTGAGCAGTGATGACGAGTACCAGTAGATGGGTGGGTGGCCCTACCGCCCCACGATTGTTAACAAAATTATGTTTTTATTTTTATTTATTTTGGATTCTCCCGTTGCTGATTCTGTCGCTTGTACAATAATCTTAAGTAGCCCAACAGCCTAGCATCTCAACCTAATAGACAATTAAAGATACAACTGAAGATATATCTTGAATATGTGTAAGGGTGAGTGGATAAAAGATCCCAGGGCGGAATGTAATCTATATTGATTTTAAAAAACTGTTAGTCTATTTCTTACAAAATTTTTAGATATTTTTTATTTTAAAGATTAAAGATTACATTCCCACCCAAGTCAGACTTCCCTATTTGTATATCCCTAAATGAATTGTGTATGTATGTACGACTAAATCTATGCAAAACATATATTTTGTAATTATACACCGCATATTGTAACTTGATTCGCTTCGATTCCATTACTCTTGTGAAAATTTATCGATAAATATCGATTAAAATGGACAAAAAATCAAAAAAAAAAGGAAAAAATAGCCAACCGAAACTGAAAATAATGCCACAGCACTACTTGCGTCTCTCGAACCGTCTGCAGGATGCTTCTACAATAAAAAATAAGCAAGATCTACACAAAATAAAAAAAAAAAATAATTATATTTATAAGACATGGCTAATTTTTTAAAAGCAAACTTAACACAATACACCATAGCTAACTTAGAGCGAATTTGTTAGATGAATGATTGAAATCAGGTCCAGAATATATTTCCAGACCCCAGATCCAGATCCTTTCCGAAAACGAGATGATGATTGTAGTATAAAATGAAGATGATTTTACCCTGTACAGTGAAATGTGAATTATTCCATTTATTTGGGCCACTCTCCGAATGCAGAACGGTATTTTGATATAATAGCCAGGCTTCCCATCAAAATTACACGTGTGTCTGGACCAAGCGGAGTGAGCCGACAAACCGGATATCCGGAAAAAACTGAGAAAAGACCGAGAAAAGCCATAGGAAACGTCAAATTATGTATAATTATCGAGAGAGCGGAAGTGAAAGAGTTAAAGAAAAACAAAGCAGAAACGTTTTTATGTACATTTTTTCGTTAATAATATTAAAATGAGAATAAAATCAATGTCATAAAATATACTAAAAATTCATTTATGTATATAATATATCAAGTGTTTTAATTAGATTGGATTTAGTTGGAAGTTGGTAGATGTACTCTCCTTTAATTCAAATTTGGCGGTTATAGTATTTTGGTATTTTTAGTTATCGATAAATGTACTCCATTTGAGCTATTCTAAAAGATTCTTTGGCATTATTTCGGTGTATAATGTAAATATTTTTAACCAGAGAAGTCCAGATTTTAAAATTACAAACAAAATTTTTAAAAATATTGTCTACAGTGTTGGAAAACGTCGAAAAATCTGTTCGAAGCAAACATGTTGCAGAGCTCGAAGCGAACTCAAACCCATTCACCGATAACAAATCGGTTATCGAGTGCTGTGTATCTGTAAAACGTGAAACAAGCAAATCGTAGCAGTTTTAAATGCGCTCGAAGAAGAAGCATCGAGACCACGGAACATAACCGGCAAAAAAATATCAAAGAAAATCGTATTTTTGATATTTTGGGGCGAATCAGAACGAGTCGCGGGTGCAGTTTTTCGATCAAAATTAAATAGCCAACGGGTTGCTTTTCATGGCCGTGCAATCGATGCAATAAATGCAAGACAAGTGTCGAAAAAGGAGAGAAAACAGTCGCGCAAAAAAAAAAGAGAAGTTGGGGCATGAAAACCAGTTATGTATTCGCGCAGCCAGTGTTTCCTTTTTGCCGAGTTTTTTAAATCCAAGAAATGTTAATGAAAGTGTCGTGCAATGGGGCCGAAGCGTTAATAAATCAAACCACCAGCAGCAACTTACTTGGAGGCGACACCAATTCCCCTCCCCCTCTCCAACATTAATAAGCCAAAAACCGATTTCCTGCCAAGATCTGTGCGTTTAACTAAAAAAAAAATGTAAGTACAAGCCGAGTATACACACACGACTTGACACATTATGTTGTTGTTGTTTTTCTTCACCGCCTCGCGGAGTGTGTGTGGGGTGTGTGTGAGAGTGTACATATGTCTGTGTTGTGCAAAAGGCAGGTAGAAGAAAGAAGTCAAAAAGACAAAAAAAAAAAAATGAACTCAAGGGCAAGCTAAAAATTATAGCGTGTGGATTAATAAGAAGGAAAATCTATTTTTATTCCCCGCCGGCTTGCTAATTTTATAGAGCATTTATTTTTCGCAAATGCTTGTTCTATTTATCTTTTTTTTTTTATGTAATTCTTTGGGGGAAATAAGAGGAGTCCTAGTGAAAAATCGATAAATCAGCGCCGCTGCAGCTGTGTTTTCGTCCTGCATGTGTATGCGTGGGCTGTGTTTTGGAGCTGCCGGGCGTCGTAATTGGGGTAGGAATCCCTCTCCCTCTCTCTCACTCGCTCACTCTCTTTGGACTCCCCTCCTTTTGCATCATCCTTCTTCCTCTAACACACTCATACCAAAAACATCTGTGTGTGTGTGTGTGAGCCGTAAACAACAAAATAAGCCGCTTTTCTTTTGGCGGCCCACTCTTTACTTTCCACATGCACTTTCCTCCCAAAATGCAAATAAAAAAAAAATCAATAAAAAGCCCCTAGACGTAAAAATAAAAGTCATCTAATGCCAAAATCAAACATGGGAACAAGTTATTAGCCCAATTTGCATATAAGCGAGCATTTCTCCAAGCCCGATCTCGCCAGAGGCACTGCATCATCGCCCTCCTGACTAAAGTTAATCAATCAAATGATATACAATTCCCCGAACAAGCATTATATGACTCAACCCCTTTAATATAAACAGCTGGCCTGGCCTGGGTCTGTGTTTGTTTAAAATTTTATACAAATTTTTGCTCAACTTTTTCGCACTCTGCTTTTTGGCCAGAAGCGTGGGCATTCCGATTTGGCCAAAAGTCAAGTGGCCTGGGGATTTTAAGAGCTTATAGTATGTATTTAAGAATGCGTCATAGTTCTAGTGCAATGCTTATCCTTATCTTCAGGGCCGGCGAAAATAAATAAAACAGCAGGAACGACTTTCCCAAGATAGCTGGAAAACAAAACAGTATTACCCTTATTGGTATCTGTAGGAATTATCAATGTTTTGCAATTTTATTATCAGTTGTAACATTGTAACATTATCATACTTATCATCATCACTTAGGTTATAATGCGTATTTTGGACTAATAAGACAGTTTGTAAAAAACTATATAGGTTAGCTATAAATTTTCTCATAAAAGTGATATCATTTGAGGTAGTCACTGTCTTTTATAGGCTTCCCTAATCATTGGCCCAGATTTCTGGGAAATTAGGGGTGCCAAATATTGCTATTTTTAGCCTCCATAAATTGAGTGCCTCATTGGGAGGCTCTCTTTTGGCAATCAATCAAAAAAAAAGCATGCTTTTTTCTAGCATGCGAATTTTTCACCTGTCGGTATTATCAGGAAAGCCCCAATAAGGTGGGGTTGTACGGCTTTACCACTATTACTGTCTTTTGTAGGAAGAGTTTTAGGTCTACGGGCCTCTCAATGAAAAAAAGCATGCTTTTTTGTAGCATGCGAGTTATTACCCTGCGGGAATTATCAAAAGTGTGCCAGAAACAAGGGATTTTTCGCTTATACCATTATCATTTATAAGAAGAGTTTTAGGTTTTAGATGAAAAAAAAGCATGCTTTTTTTAGCTTGGGAAATTTTTAACTACCATAATTATCAAAAGGGTTTCAGTAATATGGTTTTTTGTGCTTCTTCCACTACTACTATCATTTTTAGGAAGAGTTTTAGGTTTTCTTCTGACAATTATTGAAAAAAGCATGCTTTTTTCTGGTATGCGAATTTTAAACCTCTCGGTATTACCAGGAGGGCTCCAATAAGATGGTTTTTATACCCTTGCAGAGGGTATTATAATTTTGTCCAAAAGTGTGCAACGCAGTGAAGGAGACATCTCCGACCCTATAAAGTATATATATTCTTGATCAGGATCACCTCCTGAGTTGATATGAGCATGTCCGTCTGTCCGTCTGTCTGTTTCTACGCAAACTAGTCTCTCAGTTTTAAAGCTATCGACTTGAAACTTTGCACACACCCTTCTTTCCTTTGCACGCAGTATATAAGTCGGAACGGCCGGGATCGGCCGACTATATCCTATAGCTGCCATATAACTGATTGATCGGAAATGGTATAACTTTGGTGTTTTTAGAGTTAGAGAGTTCAAATTTGACATGAGATCTATTTTTGGCAAAATATTACGACATGCCAAATTTCATAAGGATCGGCTGACTATATCCTATAGCTGCCATATAACTGAATGATAGGAAATGACCCAACTTTCGTGTTTTTAAAGATAGAAAGCTGGAACTTGGTACAGATTATATTTTTGGTCAGTTAATCCGACCTACAAAATTTCATTAGGATCGGCCAACTATATCCTATAGCTGCCATATAACTGAACGATCGGAAATGACCCAACTTTCGTGTTTTTGAAGATAGAAAACTGGAACTTGGTACACATTCCGTTTTTGGTCAGTTAATCCGATCTACCAAATTTCATAACGATCGGTTGACTATATCTTATAGCTGACATATAACTGTACGATCGGAAATGGTTTTTGGTAGAAATATGAACTTTCATATTTTTGAAGATAGAAGCTTGGGACTTTTTTTTAGATTTTTTATTGTAATTAATTGGTTTTATTATGATGTAATCATAAGGATCGGCCAACTATATCCGATGTTTGCGATATATATCCGGTTTAGCTGCAAGGGTATATCAACTTCGGCTCCGCCCGAAGTTAGCTTTGCTTTCTTGTTTTTACTATTATATCACTATTGATATCATTTATAGAACGAGTTTTTGGTATCTTCTGACAATTAATGAAAAAAAGCATGCTTTTTTTTAGAGGGCGCCATAAAAATGGTATTTTTTTTGGTTCTACCACTACTACTATCACTTATCGGAGGAGTTCTACGTTATCATACTGTGAATGATTAAGTAGGGGACTGTAATGAGCTTTTTACTCACTAGGATATACTTCCTTTGTGTCTCCCCCCTTTTCTGGCTTCTGCTTCTTATTACTTTCTCCCATAGCTGTTACCCACTGTAGCGCCACATGAGCTCATTTCCCACCACTGACCTAGAATCGGGTTCCCTCTAATTCTCTTGATCCACACTATAATTCACAATTCGCGTCACAAAAGCCACACTTTGTAGTTGACTTATTTTAATTGTGGCATTCATTTTGACCATTTTAGTGCCACACACACACATACTCACTAAGCACACACACATGTGTGTGCCTCAGATGCCAAAGACATGACGCCATATTGCGTGTCAGAACGGTATGGAGAGGGTTAAGAAAGAGGGTGAACAACAGAGAGGGTAGGCCAGGCCGGGCGGGCCGGCCAACAGCACAGCTGACACTTGACTCTCCCGGCAGAGCAAATTGCAATTACAAATGTTTTTTACCGTTATGTTGCGAGTACGCAACCGCATGTACCATACGATATCATACATACATATGTAAATATTCACTGTGCTACTGAACAATTACCTTTTTTTTTTTTTTTTTTTTTAAGCTTTTTCTTTACATTTTCGTTTTTCATTTCAATTAGAGAGTCGGCCAACAAACAGACGAGAATGCTAATGGAAAACAAATTTTCAATTAGTTAATCAGTCGGCGGGGTCTTAACAGCTGTGTAGGAGTGGGAGTAAGAGAGGGGGTAAGAGAGGTAGAATGAGAGGGAGTATCAGAGGGAGTATGAGTGTAATTATGAGTGTTACTTGGAGTGACTTAAGGGGGGTATTAAGAGATATAACTTCCTAAGTAAAGCTAGTTTTTCGGTATTTTTTGAAATTTTTGAGAAGTAAAAGTTCAAGAAATTATGTTTTGGAGTTATTTTCCACCATATCCTAGCGAAATCTATATCCCATATCCCACCATATCCTAGAGTACAGAAAAAGGTACTTGAGAGATATAATTTTGATTTTGGGAGCTTAGATTATCTATCTTAGAGATAAAATGGGCACTGCAACTAACCTATTTGGTCAAAAGTTTCAGACTAATTGTAACCAATGTCGTAGGACTTTATATATCTTCATGAAAATAGTAAAGAATATTATTTAAACATCTTACTACAATAAGGCATATATAATATAATTCAAACCAAGAAATATAAGACACTAGTTTATATTGTTTTAAGAAAATACCCCAAAAATGCACCATTTTTTATAAAAGCTAAACCTATTACCCCCTTAAGAAACCCTAATAAAAAGTTGTTTCTAAGGGTTTCTTCAAAACCTTATACCCTCTTTAAAGAACCAAATATTTATTCTTTTGTAATCTCTTTTGGTTTTTTTGGTTAAATACCAGGCTAGTCCCAGTTTCTTTATAATATCTCCCTAAACAAGAGATAAGCCCGGCTTGGAGTACTCCCAACTGCGCCCTCACCTACATTTCACACACATGTGTTTCTTCGGGTTATTCCATTTATTTATTTGGACTTTATGAGCCCAGTTTGTGTTTTCAGCGTTCGCCGGCCTCGTGTTGTTTGCTTTTGTGTGTTGTTGTTTGTGTTTATGTTTGTGTGAAAGTGAGTCGAATGCGTTCGTTTGGGAACTCTCTGATATGCTGCTTTCCTAGGCACGAGATCCCCCCACCCATTAGTTTTTTGTCTTATCAGTCTTTGGGTCTTTGGGTCTTCGGTGGGTTGTTTTGTTTTTGTGGCGTACTTTTCCATTGAAGCGGTGGGTCGCGGCTGCAGCCGATTTAATTATGGAATTTATGGCTCTTTCTGTCTACAACTAATTCTTTTTTTTTTTTGATAGGACAGTGAACTGGCACTGAAAAAAATAGAAAAAATATATACAATTTTTTTCTAACCCATTTCGAACTCTATTCTTTTTCTTTAATTTTAAATTCATTCATTAATGGAAACCTAATTAGTGG